ATGAAAAATTAGAACTAATCCTAGGTATGGATGCTAATGCACACCACACTATTTGGGGGAGCAGTAACATCAACCAAAGAGGAGAGGTTATAATGGATCTATTGCTGACTACAGACCTAAGTATACTGAACAGAGGTAGTGAACCTACTTTTGTTATCAGGAACAGGCAGGAAGTCATTGATCTAACAGTTTGTTCAAAAGGGTTACTTCAAAAGATAAAAGGGTGGAAAGTGTCCTCCGAACCTTCTCTTTCTGATCATAGGCACTTACGATTCACTTTGGAAATTAACAAAGTTGAGACGGAGTACTATAGGAACCCGAAAAGAACAAACTGGGACAAATACAGGGCAGATCTCTCTCGTGACCTGATTAACCTACAGTTTAGATTGGGGTCGAGACAGAGTACTGAAAGGGCTGTAAATATGCTACAGGACTCCATTGTCTCAGCTTACAAAGAAAACTGTCCTTTAATAGAAAGGAAAGGTACAGGGCAGGGTGTAGCTTGGTGGAATGCTAACCTGTCTAAATTAAGAAAGAGTTCACGTAAGCTCTTAAATAAAGCAATGAAATCAGGTTTGGAACAACACTGGGAATCCTATAAGGACGCCCAAAGGAACTACAAATCTGCATTGAAAAAGTCCAAAAGAGAAAGCTGGAAGAAGTTCTGTGGGGATATACAACAACTCCCTATAGCAACTAGACTTCTGCGATCACTAAGGAATGGACCAAACAAAACTGTCGAGGCAATACTACTGCCAGACGGAATGTTCACCAATAATGATAATGAAACATTATCACATTTGATGAACACACATTTTCCTGACTCTACAATTAACAACAGAGAACAGGAACATGATGCACAGGACAAACGTGTGACCTGTGCTGATTGGAGACTAACCAGGAAAGTGATAACCCCAAGTGGAATAAGATGGGCAATAAAAGCCTTTGGCAGTTTTAAAGCTGCAGGCTGTGACGAAATTTTCCCTGCACTTCTGCAAGAAGGGTTAGAGATAATCGTCCCCCATCTCTGCAAAATATTTAGGGCATGCCTTGCCTATGGTTATCAACCAGAAAGCTGGCGTAAGGTTAGGGTAGTGTTTATACCCAAACCTAACCGCACTAACTATTATGAAGCAAAATCCTACAGACCAATAAGTCTTACTTCTTTTCTTCTTAAGACTATGGAGAAACTTATTGATAGGTACATCAAGGAGGGGCCTCTTAAGGAGAACCCTTTACATGAAAACCAACATGCGTATCAAACGGGGAAATCTACTGATACAGCTCTACACTGCTTAACTACTAAGATAGGGAAAGCTGTAGAGAATAAAATGTATGCAGTAGGTATATTCCTGGACATCGAAGGGGCTTTTGACAATACTCCCTTCGATGCTATGTGTGAATCTGCACAACAGCGTGGAATAGAACCACTTATTATTAAGTGGATAGAATCCATGCTTAAGGAACGCTCCATTTTGGGACAGCTCAATGAGACCAAAGTAATCAAGAGTGTCAAACAGGGATGCCCACAAGGCGGGGTTCTATCCCCCTTGCTATGGTGTCTAGTATTGGACTCGCTTATTAGAGAGTTAAACAAATATTGTTATACACAAGCCTATGCGGATGACTTGGTTATAACAGTGGTGGGTAAATTCCCAGACACTATTATTGACTTAGCACAACAGAGACTTAACACTATACAGATATGGTGTAGTAAGTACGGTCTATCTGTTAATCCAAATAAAGCAGAGGTTGTTATGTTCACTAGAAAGAGAATAGGACTAGACAACCTGGACACTCTTACTCTGAATGGACAAGAAATTAGCTTAAAATCAGAAGTAAAATACTTAGGTATTATCTTGGATAGTAAGCTAAAATGGAAATCACATGTTGAGTCAAGAATCAAAAAAGCAATGACCACATTGTGGACTTGCAGCAGAGCCTTGGGAAAGACATGGGGTCTTAAACCAAGAGTTATGTATTGGTTGTACACGTCAGTGATTAAACCTATGATATTGTACGGTGCCCTGGTCTGGTGGACCAGAACAGCACTCATTACAGCTAGGAAAGAACTTAGTCGCATACAGAGAATGGCTGCTATTGCCATCACTGGAGCATTAAGAACTACACCAACGGTCGCATTAGAGGCACTAATTGGATTGCCTCCTCTGCATCTAGAGGTGAAAGCTCACGCCAAAGCTACAGCACTAAGATTCCACAACTTAGGTATGTGGACTTTGGAGAGTGATACAACAGAACATGGTAAAATACTAAAAGAGATAGACAAGGGCTTTTTAGAATACCCCTTGGACTATATCAAACCGGTTCTTAAGAATAACATTCCCTACAAAGTGGAGATCACTACACGTATAGAATGGAATATTAACCACCTGACTGACAAAGGAGGATTTGTGATATATACAGATGGATCCAAAAAATCAGGAAAGGTAGGTGCTGGAATTTGGGGCTTAAAGCCACGAATAAATGTCAGTATGTCATTGGGCACAACACCCTCTGTTTTCCAAGCAGAGGTGATGGCGATACTGGTAGGGGCTCAGAACCTGCTGGTATACAAAAATAGGAAGATAACTATCTTAAGTGATAGTCAAGCGGCTTTGAAAGCACTCTGTAACGATCAGGTGAATTCAAAGCTGGTCCTCGAATGCAGGGAAACTTTAGAATCACTATCGAGGTTCAACAAAGTTACACTAGCGTGGGTACCAGGACACAACGGTGTCACTGGAAATGAGAATGCTGACTTTCTAGCCAGGAAAGGAGCAGAGAACACCTATGTTGGACCAGAACCAGTGGTAGGGCTCACTGAGCAATCGCTCAAAGCGTTACCCAAGAATTGGTGCAGAGAACAACACAGGAAAATCTGGAAGTACTTGGTAGTACCTAGACAATCTAAAATGTTTATCAAGACCCCTGGTTTATTGCTGGGTGATCTTAATAGCATGACTAGACATCAAATAAGCACCCTGACTGGTCTACTGACAGGACATGGTCACCTGCTTAAGCATCTTAACGCAATGGGGGTATCGGAATCACCATTGTGCAGAAAATGTGGAGTAGAAGAGGAAGACTCATTTCACATCATGTGCGAATGTGAAGCCTTGTCCACACTAAGATCAAACTACTTGAATAAACCATTTCCTGAAAAAGAGGATATTAAAAACCTAAAACCCAGGGAGATACTTAATTTCGCCAGAAAGACAGGACTCTTTGGTCATCTCTAGAGGTGACTTTATGGTTGGTAATGTATTAACACTTTGGTGATAACACTTAGGTGGGTAAACCGAATCAAGACAATTCGGTATGAGGTGCGCACAATGGACCAACAGGTCTGAGTGCATGGGCATTATGTCTACCTCAATAATAACTAAAACTAAAACTAAAACCATGATAATACGACGGTTGAATCGGTCCACGCATAAATTTCTGAAATATCAGTATCTAAACAGTTTTTTACGCCATTCAACGTTGTAGCAAGTAATAACGCAGCACATAATTCAAGGCGTGGTACCGTAATTTGGCACTTACTGGTTTTAATTGCCGCTGCCTTTGTCTTACATGTAACAAAATTTATCTTAACATGACCGGGATGTCTACTATCCGCAAATAAACAACGGCCACGTAAACACGTAATGAAAAATTTGAGAATCCTACTAATTCTATTTTTGAATATGTGCGTATGTCAATATGTCGAGGTAACCTGATTTGGTCGATAAATGGCAATTCTATTACGAACTGATTCCATGACGTATTTAACTCCTCTAGATGACTGTCCCAATCAAGACCCGATTGCCATTACGTTCGCATGAATGACTTTGCCCATGAAAGTGTAGGTCTGAGCGTACCTATAGGATTGATAAGTCTGGCGATTGTAGAAAGTACCTTGGGTTTCGTATAAGGATAATCGGGTTGAAATTTAGTATGATAAGCAAACATATCCGATGTAGGATTCCAATGCATACCTAATACTTTTACAGATGTATCAGTATTCTTTGGGTCGAAAAATAACAGTTCAGAGTGATCAGTACACTTTACTTGCCGAAGTATTTGAGACAAATTACTTGTCGACTTTTTTAGAGATCAGCCACGTGTCTTTAATAGCCTAATCAAATCGCTCTGAATTTTTAATAATTCATCCAAAGTGTCAGCGCCGATCACAATATCGTCGACGTACGTGGATTTAGTCACTACACCTTTTGCAGTAAGTAAACCAGATCCATTTTGAGCGTCTAGTTCATGTAAGCATTTTATAGCGAGGTATAGAGCTGAAGTATCCAACAATTACATGTCATTTAAGAGTATTTTATTTATGATGATGATATTATTAAAGTTAACTTTTTTTTACGTATACTTTTGATGTCATTTCCTTAATATTTATCTAAACATTTATTTTATTTGGTATAAGGTTTTCATCGTGTTTTTGTATGTTAAAATTCAAAATTATTTGCTTCAAAAATATTTTGATTTGTACTGAAGTAAATTTTTTTTACTATCTCTGGATAACCTATTCATCAGCGGAATGATAACTTAAAATGAAGTATTATAAATAATAATTATTTAATTATTTAACACCCTGATGACATAAATGCAACATACAGTATCATAAGAATAACTAAATAGTTATTCAATTTCTAATAATATATGTAAACATCTCATTCACAAAATATTTACGGATTCTGGGTATCCATAATCACATTAATACATAGTATTCACACTAAAAGATTTAAATTAAAATTTATTTATTTTAAATGTTTATTACGTTTAAACGTTCTACGCATTGTTGTTCTAATTATAATGTTATTAGTGAATCATTTAAATCATTATAATTTGTTATATTATTACTTTTATCTAGTTATCATAGATAGTTCAAAAACAGCAAAAGTTGCTAATTTTTCCTACATACAATTTTAAAATAAAATGTTGAAAATAACATATATATATACTATAAAAAATATTGTTTTATGTTATTAATAAAATATTGTATTTTTTAGGTGTATTCGGTTTTCCAAGGGTTAATGATTGTAAGTAAAATTACGTATCTTTATATTCTATGACATGTTTATATAAGGAGAAATATTTTAAACTGTTGACAAATAGACATTTAAAATGAGAAGAATATTATACAATTTTATTTGATATCTGATAATTACTATCACAACACATTGCTTAGTGATTGTCCATAGTGAAATTACGAAAAAAAGTTGGGGTAGTGAGAAACCAGCTCCTTAATGTTTCCCACGTCATTTGATTATATAGTAAACATTAATTTGTAAAAATGTACTCCTTGAAAACATTTTTTTGCAACAATTTATATAGGTTTGCGGTTTGTACATAGAAATCCTACTTTATTCTTTAACTACGACTGTTTATAATAAACAAATAAAATGAGTCCTAAAGTCAATTTTATTTCAATTTGAAATTATTATATAAACTAAATCTGTGTTTATAGATTGTAGGCATTGGTTGGTGGCACTGGCCACAACCCTTATCTTTATTATGTTATGATATATATTATGCAATGTTAATATTACTATTACGAAATTATTATTATGACGTTGATGTTAATTTTTTTATGAAAATACAATTATGTTTTTTTAAGAGTTTTTAAAGAACCAACTAGTTTTATTTTTTTTATATGTTCACCTTTCACATTTATCTGTTCCTCATTTAATATACCATATTATATGGCCTCCTACAAGATGTCAGAATTTTCAAAACATTTTTAAATTTTAAATTTTAAAAATGAAAAATGTTATATATGTGCATTAATCATCTTTGAGCATGCGTATCATAGGATATTAAAAAAATACGTTTATGCATTTTAAAATTTTCTATAAATATTGTATTTTTTTTAGCAAGTAACTTGTCCGCAAATGATACAAGTAATAATACATATTAATTAGTTTAAGTTATTTAAAAATTAAAAATTTTGATCTAGTTATCTAAATTATATAGTTATTATATCGCTAAAAATATTTTTGCCCTGAAGTACTATAGTTATAGTACTAAGATATAACTGGAAATAAACACTGTATAATTGTGTTTATTGATATAAAAAATAGAATTAACACGCTTAGGATATGATTGAACAACGCTATTTCAAGTTTTATGCTTTTATTTAGATGCCAATATAACTCCTCAAGAAACACGTAAGTGATTGAGTAAAGAACTTTAAATTTTACATTAAACAATTTTTTTTACTATTTTCTATGAACAAAATCAGAATTTTATTATATAAAAATATATATTATTTCATGTCATTTAAGATGAATACATTTTAGGAAGATGGTATTACTGAGGTTATAACAGTTTTTAAAGAACATCTATGAAGTTATATATACTTGATAATATTAACAAATAATGAAGAAAATGATTTATTTCTGTTTGATTTTATTATACTTTATGTCAAAATTACACTGACTGTGTAATAAAATTGTGTGTATATAAATAATATCATCTTGGTGTATGACAATTTTTGGATAATTTCCAACAGCGTAATATATAGAGATCCCTATACTTACTTTTTGGGGAGTTTTGTAATAGATTATTAAAAAAATTTTATTTATATAAATTCGTAAAAATAAAATTAAAAATAATTTTTTTTTTAGGTAATGACTGGCTCACAAATTTAAGAAGTAAATAATATTATGATTGATTTATATTCACTGGATATTAATAATAATACATTATTTTAATTTATTTGATATTTAGATTTCTATTCTGAATTTTATAATCGAGGTAAGAAGGAATCAACATACATAAAATTTGTTATTTATCTTAATATCACTTCGGGAGGCTACTTTTTCTTATATCAATTTAAAAATATAATGTTTGTTAATGACAGAATTATGTTTTATGAAATATAGTTTTACGTTATTAATAATTATCTCATTTATATTTATTTATAAGATAGCTTATTATAGGTTATAAATAGTTAATTCAAGATTAATATATTTGTTTAGTTTTTCATCCTCAAATTTCAAGTAAGTACTTAATTAAGCAACTAATATTATTAGTAATAAAATTATATTTAAATGCAATAAATTATTACATTTTTAAATTTAACTCGTTAATATAAAAATAGAGGTAATTCGATACCAGATCCTCAATCTTTTCCACATCATTTGATTATAGAGTAAACACTAATTTGTAAAAATAATCTCCTTGAAAACATTTATTTGCAACAATTCATCTAGCTTTGCAATTTGTACATTAATCTGGGTTATTTAAAAAAATACGTTTATGCATTTAAAATTTTTTCTACATATAATGTATTTTTTTAGCAAGTAACTTGTCCGCAGATGATACAAGTAATAATGAATATTAATTAGATTAAATAATTTATAAATTAATACATTATGATACATCTAGTTAATATATTCGTTATATATTACTAAAAATATTTTTGCCCTCATTGTTCTTGAAAACCACTATAGTTTAAGCGTACCTGTTTTGAAAGACATCACTGGCAATAAACACTGGTAACTTGTGTATAATGATGTTAAAACTAGATATAACATACACAGAATATGTTTGAACAGCGCTAATTCAAGTGCTATACTTTTATTTAAAAACCAATATGACTCCTTAAAATATAAGTCAGTACTTAACTGAATAATTTTAAATTGTACATATAATATTTTTCTATAAATATCATATTGAGTAGATTTATCATAAAATATTAAAAAAAAATAAATTTAAACATATAAAATGTTTTACAACAGATAACATTACGACTTCAGATCATACTGGTAAGAAAGGGAAATGCGATTAAGATGTAAAAAATAGGTTTGAAAATTACTAATTCAATGTTCTCATTTTTTTAGATGCAAATACAACTCCTCTAGATACAAGTGTGTACTTAAGTGATAATATTGAAATATTTATATAATAAAATATTTAATTATGATATTAAAATATTTTTGAACTATTGAATAATACTATTGATTTTCTTGCATTTCTGTCTGTATACCGTTTAGTGTACCGTTAAAAATTTTAATTTCCTTTATTTTTATTAATTTTAATATGCACGCTCTTTGAAAGGATTGTGCATGTTCCTCCCAATAGAACACTTTCAAACAAATTAGACAATGCTTATTTTTCATTTGATTTACTAGCCGTAGTATTCAGCTTTTATAATATTAATTTTTTTCTTATTTTTTATACTATAATATTTAAAATCGTATTTATTGATAATGTTAATTTTTTATAAAATCGTATTTTTTATTTATATTACATAGGATAAGTTTAAAATCGCTAATTTAATGTTTATTAATATCTTTAGATGACAATACGACTTCTCAAGATACAAGTCAGTACCTAACTAAAAAACTTTAAATTATAAATTAAATATATATTTTTTTAATTCGTATTGGAAAAATAAAAATTTTTGAAAATAATTCCATAAAAATATTTAGAATATATTTCATAAGAATATATTCTTCGTGCAGTTAAAAAAAAAATAAAAGTTTTGTTTTGTGTTTATTAATTAAATTTATTGTTTTTTAATATAATATTTATTATCTATTTTACGTTTTGTATTAAAATAATAGTGAACATTTTTTATGTTGTCTGATTAGGTGATGATTAAGAAATACCACTCAAATAGCAAATTAAAAAAGGATAATATTTCATAATTGTACTACTATAATTTTGTAAAAGTTATTTGTGTAATAAGTTTATTTTCACCCACTTTTTAATTAGTTTAAAATAACATTATATTAAATATATTGTATTATTATTAATTAAATAACAATTTAAAAAAAAAATCTTAATAAAATGTTTAAAATTGTTTATCAAGAATTTTATTAAGTATTATAGCAGTAAAATTTTGAAATTGCATAATGGTACTGATGTATAAATAATTAAAAAAAATGATATCAAATAAAAGGTAAATATCTAAGCTTTTAGTATAAATAAAAATTAAGTCGATTTGTTCATTTTTCAAAAAATTATGGAAGTTTTAAGAAAAAAAAGTGAAAAAATTTCGAAAATTAGCGATTTTTAAATTTTGTAATTTTTTTTGATATTTCCCCTATTTGCAGGGAACGAGGGAATTTTTTTCAATTTTTAAGCGTAATGTCTCCAATCTAGATACGATTTGTAATCTTTTGACTTATTTTTGAAAAAAATTGGTTCGATGAGAGCTGAGAAAAAGTGGTAACAGACACAAAAAAAAAAACCCATCATAGTAAAATTAATACATTCTCAGCTTTGCATCGAATCTAAAAAATACAATATATATAGAAAATTTTAAATTCATAAACGTATTTTTTTTAATATTCCATGATACACATGCTCAAAAAGAGTTAATATACATTTATAACATTTTTTATTTTTTTAATTTAAATATTCATTTAAATTTTTATATTCAAACTGACGCGTCTAAGCTTGGTCTTGGTGTTGAAATATTTCAAGTGGATGGTAACAGTCAACGTAACACAATTGCATTTGCGACCCGTGTACTTAATGCTGCGGTTAATATTACTCTATTACTTAAATGAAACTGTTGTCTATTATGTTTCCTTGTACAAAATTTCGTGTATTTTTATTGGAAAATCGTGTGAATGTGATCACAGACCATCAGGTTCTTTTTTTTCTATTAGAATTTCGATTGCGAAACGCTCGACTAACGCGTTGGACTTTAATATTACAAGGGTATGATTTACATATTCTAAGCTAATAAAGTAACATATAAATAATTTTATAGTAGAATTGTTATTAAAATATAATGATTGTAAGTGGGTTATTAATTAGCTCAACACCTCTTATTAGACCTAGTAAATCTTCACTAAAAAAAAGCAACATACAGGGTAAGATTTCAAAAAATACTTACTGATAACACATATATAAATATTAAGCTAAAATCTCCTCAAAATATAGATGATGCGGTAAAAAAGTTATCACAATCGATTCATACCGCTGTCGTTTCTGATACTCCTCCCAATAATAATAAATCTCTTTTCTCATTAATATCCCGACTCATAATCGTACATTAATAACTCAAAAACAACTAGCCAGAAATCTATGGAAGTTAAATCTCTACCCCTCCGATAAAAATAGACCCTTACTACACACCTGAAAAGATTATTTGCAAAATTTAGAAGTGAGTCTAATTTAAATTTAATAGCAACTCTTTCTATACAGCATTGTTCATTATGGAATGCTAATACACAGGTCACTAGAAATAAACCATTTTTCCTCTCTCCCAAGAAAAAGGGCAACTCCTTGTCTGTGAATGATCAAGAAAAAGCATTTATATTCCAAAAACATTTTTGTGAAGTATTCAAACCACATGAGATCATAATTAATAATGAAATTTCAAAAAAAAAAACAGAAAAGATTCTTAATGGTCGACTTCAAATGACCCTCACTCCTAAATTACTTACTCTAGACGAAACTATGCATTGCATATCTACTTTCCCTCCAAAAAAGCCCTCTGGTCTTGATCAAATTACCCGTGAGATAGCAAAATGTCTTCAAAAAAAAAAACACTCATACTATTAACAAATATATTCGGTTCTATTATTCGCTTATCATACTTTCCATTATAATGGAAATCGTCGATAATAATAATAATATTTAAACCTGGTAACACTTATTCTGCAGAAGAATAAATTCTATAATAACTCAAAAAAACACTATACCCCACACTCAATTTGGTTTTGTAGCAGACACTCAACTATTCAACAAATAAACCACTTAACTGACATTATCGCATCTTCACTAAAAAAAAAAAAGGTCTCCTCTGCCGTCTTTTTTGACGTTGCTCAAGATTTCGAGTGAGTTGGCATGACGGTTTTCTTTTAAATTAAAGCTAGTCTTACCACCTTTAATATGCAAAGTTATAGTAAAAGAATAATGTGTATTAAATATAAAGGTGGTAAGGATGAATGGGTATCTCGTGGTTGAACTACACAATATATATATATATATATATATATACATTAGGGTGGTCCTTATTTTTCAACTTTATAAATTCAGAGTCATGAGCACAAAAAATTTCGTTAGGTTCACTGAAAAAATGAAAATGGTAAAATTTAAATACAATAAGTCAACCCCTTCACGTGCCTCAATGGGGTTGAAGTTGTTCAAAAATGGGTTGGATTTTCTTTTATATGAAAAATACATATAGAAAATGTTCCAGAAAAACNTATACGGGTTCAAATCTGAAAAATACATATAGAAAATGTTCCAGAAAAATTGACACTTTATTATTCACAGTGAAAACAGATATCAAAATTAATAAAAAAAACCCAGCACAGGGGGGTCGCGGCACAGTGGAGACGTGGTATAGATGGATCAAGTATAATGATATCTGACAGTGATTAAAATCACTATAAAAAAAAAAATGCTGCGATGCAAATCTTTAGATAGTGTTTAATTTTAAAAAATTGGTGGATTATTCCAAAAGATTCATAAACTGCTAGTTCCTTATTAATATCCTGATTAAGATAAAGTGTGTCGAATGAAAAAAGGAATATTAAAAAATAGTATTTTCCATAAAAAAATTATATTGATCAATACACTTTTGAATAAGTTATAGCATTATAAAGTTAAATATACTATAAAATAAACCATCAATAAAAGACATCATCATGCANAGGGTTATGTTTTCGACTGGATACGTTTTGTGATCTTTTGACGTATTATTAAAAGAAATCGGTTCGGTGAGAGCCTAGAAAAAGTGGTAACAGACACAAAAAAAAAAAAAATACACATTTTAGTAAAACCAATACCTTCTCAGCTTCACATCGAAACTAAAATAGAATTATGGTAAAAAATTATATTTTACATTTTTAACTTTATAATGCTATAAATTTTTGAAAAATGTATGGATCATTATATTTAATTTGATAGTACTATTTATATTTATATATTATTATTAATATATAATAGTATGGTCCTTATATTTCAACTTCATAAATTCAGAGTCGTGGGCTCAAAATTTCGTTAGGTTCATTGAAAAAATGAAACTGGTAAAATTTAAGAACAATAAGTCAACCCTTTCACGTGCCTCAAAGGGGTTGATGTTCTTCAAAAATGGGGTTAATTTTCTTTTTTGAGTGTACGTTCTTTATTTTTGAAGTTTCGCCAAAAATACAAAGAACAATTTTTATATAACTCAATGTGAACAAAAAATAAGGCAATATATTATTTTTTTGTAAAATTAATAGTTTTTCTTAAAAATAAAAAAAATCAGTTTCACTTAATTTTTAAAAAAAATGACATAGTTTTCAGTTATACTTTTCCCGTGTCTTAAATTTCAAATGTACGTAGAAATTGTACAGAAGTAATATTAAAAAACGTAATGTCTTCATAACAAATTTTCTTAGTTATATTAAATAAGAAACACAATAAAATAATAAATGTTTATCACAATAATAGTTTTTCTAATTTAAATATTTTTTATTCAAAATTTCTTGGCTACAACTAGGATACAGCTGATGATATTTTTGAACCACCTAAAATAGTCCAAAGTAAAGGTTATAATACAAATATAGTAATTTAAAATAAAAAATTTTACAGTTTTATTATATAATTTCATACTTGTAATATAAATTGATTTTAATTTTCATCTCTTGTAAATTTTTCGTTGAATTCTGTCGTTTTCTATTTTTATCGAGGATAATACATCTTTGGTGTTATTGTATTCATTAATTATTTCCCATGTGATAAGATTTTCATATAAAATCTTGAATTTTAATCTAAATCACTCGAATAATTTCCATGAATTGTTGCTGAGCAACGAAAAAGGAAGATCTTTTTCTAGAAAATCTGATAAATCTTCATATTGTAACATTAATTTTTTTTTTTGAATCTTCATTTTCTTCTGGCTCTTCACTCGTGCTCTGTTCATAACCTTTTAATATTTTTTTCGCCATTCGCTTTTTAGTATTAATGTCAAGGAGATCGTCAAATAAATAAAACACAGCACACTCATCATTTAAATACCATAAATGGTTTATACATTTTTTTATAACTGCTTCTCCTAGTTTATTTTTACTGTAATTTAATAAATTTTTCAATACACATTAAATCATTTATAGGAGCTATTATAATAATCGCAGCTGAAAACCACATTTTAATATAACATTCAACTACAAAACAACATATATCTTCTAGTGCATTTACTTCTTTTAAAGGCCCAGGTAATTAACTAATTTCTTCAACGTTTTCCTCCATATCAATATCTTCGTCCTCTGAGCTAGAGCTGCTATAATATTGAGCTTCAGCTAAATAATAAAATACTTCGGTGTATAAAAATTGCTTACATATAATGTACTGAAATTATTGTGTAATATTTAATAATTACCTGTACAATTTGCGATTTCTAACTTCTTTTTTTTCTTTCGATCATCTTCTTCTTGTCGAGTAATTTTACGTTTTTAAACACCTATTAACTTCATATCAATACCAAGCATGCACCCTGGGCGGCCATTTTTAAGTTGTAACACTAAAAACTGTTTGTCTTCTTTAATACTCATCATATTTAGAGCTTCGATATGAGAAATGTCAAAGAGGTTGTCTAATTCTTCAGAAAAAATATTATAATGTTGTTCTTGTGTTTTTCTAGATTTAGTTTTGTCCAACTTTCTCCAATTCTTATACAATTTTTTTAATTTAATAACACAGTCTGAAGAATATTGTGTAGGAATATGCGCTTTTCTCCAAAATATTAAACACTCATCTATTACAATTATT